TTTTGGAAAAAGGTAGAAGAGAAAGACAAAAAATTTGGAATAAAAATGCTCATCAAATTTTATTAGGAATATTAATCAACCTGAACATACTCCTTAAAATGATCAAATATACTATGGTATTTGTTGATCACTTAGATTGCAATAGAGATCTATATCATTTTTTTTTCAATTACGATTCTCATATTGCTCATCTTAAAAGGATAATATTTTACTATTTGCTTAAAAAGAATGATGGCCTCCAAATGTAAAATCCAAGAAATAATTAAATCATTTTCTCGGTTTTATCATTCATTATCTTCTCTCTTTTTTTTATTTTTTTTTTATTTTTTTATTTTTTTTGTGTGAGGCAATCATCCTAAGTAAAGTTCTCGGGATTTTCTTTTTAAACCATAGAAGAGGTAAATAAATTATACTCTTAAATCAAGGTTGATCAATTACAACTAAAAAATGATGAACACGAAAATAGGCACGTTTAAGAATAAACATATTGATGACGTCCTATTAAGAGATGCGAACTTCTAACGACGAACCTTATAAGAAGTAATGTCATTAGCTTAATTATTAAGTACATAAACGAATCATCATAATAAAAAATAGTATCGCGCATAATTTTCCGTCTTGCACTAAGGTGGAAAGTGCATCTTCAAGAGTAGCATCTACCACGTGCGTTTTTGTTTTTTTTTTTTTTTTTTTTTTTTTTTTTTTTTTGCGAAAACGCAAACATAACGATAAAAATAATTTTATTTTTCTTTTTGCAAAAACACAAAAGGAACGATAATTTTTTTTTTTTCATAAACGCTAAAAGAATGATAAAACTTTTTTTTTTTTTTCATAAAGATGATCATAGTAGAAGTTAGACAATGATTTTAGCCAAAGAGATATTTTTAGCACCTACTTAACGATTAACCTTGAAGCGGTAGTATCGTTTTCTCCGAATGATATTGCTCGTAACAAGTCAAAGTCAACGTTGAACAGTGGGCGCGCGCAAGACACAGTGTTGCGTGGAGGTGCCGCGTGCAACTTCAGAACTTGCGCGTGCCACAAGGTAGGTTCATTTTTTTTTTTTTGCGAAAACGCAATTTTTTTTGGAAAAATTGCTCCCATTAATCCGAACTTTGCCTCATCCGCCGAAATTAATCCCAACTTCAGTTTATTATCTATTACTCCCAACTTTGGGGGGTATTAATTTTCGTTGCACCCAAATGACTTGCAACCGGTAAAGCAGGTAAACCTTTGTATTTTTTTTTTGCGCACGTGTCAATATGTAATTGGTGGAGAAAAATAAAGAAAATTAAAATTAAAATTAAAGTAAAGAAAATTAAAAAAAATTAAAGAAAAATGTAAAAAAAAAAAATATATTAGAACAACCCAGCAGCACCCACCACCACACGAACACCACCGCCGCACATCAAACCACCACCACCGTTGGCCAAAAATGGCCGATATTGGCCACAAATGGCCGAAAATGGCCGATGTTGGGGTTGAACACCCTAAACTGGCTGATTTCGGCCGTTTGTGGCCAATTTCGTGCATAGACATCGCCGATTTTGTGGTTGGGTTCGCCGATTTCGAGGATGGGGAGGGGTTATCGGTGGCTTGGGATGGGTTATCGGGGGATGGGGATGGGTTTTCGGGGCTGGGGAGAGGTTATCGGGGCTGGGAAGGGGTGTTATTGGGGCTGGGAAGGGGTTATCGAGGGTGGGAGAAAGGAAGGGGTGGTTGGGCGGTGGTTTCCGGTAGCGGGGGAGGGGTTTTCGAGGAAGGGGTGGTTTTTCCGGCGGGGTAGGGGGTGGGGGTGTGGTGTTTTCTAGGATAGGATGGGGGGCTGGGTATTTTTCCTTTTTTTTTTTAATTTTTGTTTTAATTTTAATTTTTGTTTTTTTTTACCTATCACGTGTTGACACGTGTCTAGGTAACCTGCTATATCAGGTTAGATGACCTGTTGGATGCAACAAAAATTAATACCTTCCAAAGTTGGGAGTGATAGATAATAAACTGAAGTTGGGATTATTTTCGGCGGACGAGGCAAAGCTCAGATTAATGGGAGCAATTTTTCCTTTTTTTTTTTCTTTCGAAAATGCAAATTTTTTTTTCCCATCGTAAGGGGGTCCTTCCTTAGATGCTCATGGCCATTTAAAAGCCTAGGACTTTACACTTGTTAGGGTGTATTAGGATTTGAATTCCTAACTGTTTGGGAGACCTTGAATTAGAAATGATACTCTTATCACGATTTTTTGTAAGAAACAAGTAGGAGTCACCAATGAGTTTTAGGAAAACTCATAAACCTTGTTCATGCCTTTCTACCATGTGGAGTTCATGGAATAATCAGCAGGAATCATAAGTTTACCCATGCCCAAATTGGTCTATATAAACCAGAAATGAGTTCGAGAGCGATGGTACTAAGATAACGTTCCCTTAAGAGGGGAATCGTTATCTTAGCCCTAGTACGACCTCTACTAGCTCTTCATTTTTCACAATCTCATTACCAAACAATATATGCAATGTGATACCTAAAGACTAATTTAGTTGATTTTATTTACAACCATTAATCACGTAGGAATTACATTAAAAAAGTCGTTATTCTTTGTTTAATCAACATTCGTGAAAAGAACAAAATAAACAATATTCGCCTTGTCTTAAGTGAGAAAACAACAATTAATTATCAAATTCTATTCTTAATTAACAAAATAATACTATGTGAATTAATTAATTAAATTTTTTTTAAAGTGATTAAACAACACTATTTATTCAATTAAAGTTATTTAAACAATTAAGGAAAAGTGATATATCTATGTGCTCAGCAAATGAACCATTATTCTTTTATGTTAAATCTCCGTTTAATGTGTTTTTGGAATTTCTTTCTTCTTTGTACCTACAAGGACTTCAATGGATTCAATTAGGGTTTAAAAGTATTTGGACAGAGAGGAGAAAAAGTAGTATGATAGTAAGAGAAGTTGAGAGATTAGGGTTGTGAGAATACTAGAGTTTTAATTCTGAATTTTCGTTCCTCGTAATGCTGAACGAAGGCCCCTATTTATAGGAGTAGGGATCCAGGTTTAGGGTTGTAGAGACACTCCATTAGGTAGCGCGCGCAACTCTTTGAGTCGCGCTGGGTGCCGCGCGCATCTCAATGAGTTGCGCGCGCCAGGCGCACACAACTGATTAGTTGCGCTGGTTTGTTGTTTGCCTTATACAAAAACGCGTTTCTAAAACTTCCATAACTTTTGATTAAAAATTCGGATTAAGGCGTGTGATATGTCATTGAAAATATCTGAATGTCACTTTCCAATGTCGTTGGAGTTAGGTTAAAATATGTTATGGATCAGAAGTTATGGTCGTTGGAGTGCAAGGGTGTCGGTTTTAGAGCCCGGTTTAGTGTTTTGATCATAACCTCTTTGTTTTGGCTCGGAATTGGGCTTATAATATTCCGTTGGAAAGCACTTTGAAAGGGCTATCGACCTTGGATGGGAATTTGATTGTTGTCTTACTTTTTGGCTCAGTTTTTCAACAATGTAGGTTTCATTGGATCCAATCATTGCATTTGACGCATTTTGGTCCGTTATTAATCAAGTTTAAACATGTATGAACATGTTTTAGGCCTAATTATTAATTGGACAAGGCTCTAAGATAAATCGGTCTCAAATAAGGGTTTCAAATTACTTCATAATGCATTTCGTAGTCCATAAACACTTCAACTTTGATCTAACATGAAGAACGGATGTTTGTAACATCATCGCACTTCCTTTCGGGACAAGAGGCCAAAAGTAGGTGTCTAAAGATACTAGGAAGCAATAAAAACATCCTAACAGGGTACTAGATTTTAAAATAATTAAAGCATGATTTCTATATCGAAAGAATAACAAAGTAATTACTTACTTGGATGCCTCGTATCTCTTTCTAATAAAAAAATACACGCGTTAGTAACTTTAATGAAAATAATAAATCAAAAAATTAATTTAAATAATTGAAATAGAGATTTGGGACCAAACCCTCAGAAATTATCAACCTTTCACTCCTAGGACGAAGGAAAATTCGAACTTTGCTAGGTGTGTCTAGAACTTGTAAATGTGGAATTTTAAAAGAGGGGAAGGTTTAGAAAAATGATAGAGAGAGAATAAGATTCTAGCTTTTAGAGAGAGAATAGAATTAGATGATTGTTGATGAATAAAAATGGGAATATACGACCCCTATTTATAGGAAAAAAGAGAGTCGAATAATAAGACAAGAATCCAAATTCGAATCGAAATAAAACTCGACGGTAAGCAGTTTTTGCAAATTTTCTTTTTATCATAGACTAGTTGAGCCATCACACGCGATAGCCCAATAAACACGGAATGTGTGAGTTAACTTTTTTCGTTAAATTTATGAACATTTCTTATTGAATTTAGGTAATGTCTGTAATGGGTAGTGCAACAATATATATTTTGTGTTAAGAATGAGTTAAGATGTAGGCATTGATTCGGAGGGCGTATAATTTCTATTTAAGATTACGAGCTATTGATTTATTAATAATTTTTATAAAGTGTTGATATACCGTGTAATTTTGAGTAAATATAAATTTTTATAAGTATGTCTTTTTTTTTATTAGCGAATAGTTGTATTATGTGATAATTGTTTGTTTAAGATAGGGAAATTGGCTAAGAAACACTATGTGTTGTGACAAATCGTAATGTAAAGTTAAAGATAGTAGAAATGGTTAACACACGTGTGCATGGACATTGTGCATATAATGAAATCTATGAAAAGGAACTTTCTATTTTTGCCTGTTTATAAAATGCAAGTACAACAATAGAATATGTAAGGATTTTGAACGGTTGTACTGATGAAGTCATACATTCATAGTTCTTTATTATTTCAAGAATCTGTCATGATTGCTTTGATTGGTCAATTCATGTACTTATATTGCGTGGTGTATAGACTTCTCTGTTCATGTGCTGTCCTTCTTCTCCATTTTTTTGGTTTTTCTTTTTCTCTAAAATTTGAATTTCAATTTCATGCCAATGGGTAGCACTGATAGTACTGCGACTTCCGAGAAGGTTTTCTCACCACCAATCTGGAGGCCAAATGAACGGAAGTCAAAAAAAGAAAATGTCACAAGCTTTCTTTTGTATACCATTGAAATGAAGATGAAGATGTACATGCATCTAGAATTCGTTGAACAAGGGAATTCGAAGGTAGAGAACAAAAAAGAAATAGGGGAAACAAGTAATAAGAGAATACGGGGTGTTGAGAGAGATGGATGTGGAGAATGGCTTGTTATCATTGTTGATTCAGACAATGATGAAGGGGAAATTAATGGCAAGGAGGGTGTTGGTGTAGAAGAGAAAATAGAGGAAGATGAAGAAGAAGATGATAGTGAGGAAGACGAAGAGAGTGATGAAAGTACTAAAAGTGATGTGAATTCTGACTCAGAAACTAAATCTGAGAAAGAAGTTGTTGCTAATTTAGATGTAGAAATAGAATCAAGTGGGGAGAGCTATAATGAGGATGATGATGAGGACACTGGTTCAGACTCTTCTCTTGGGAACAATCAAGAAGGAAATCCAGAGACAAGTAAAGATTCTTCAATGTTTCATATGAAGATTTTTGATTGATTGCATATTGTCTGTGTTTAAGTCTTTTTTTGGGGTTCAATTGTAGTACTGGTGGTATAAAGTGAAGGCTTGGTAGGATTCTTTTTGGGTTGTTAGTTTTGGATGTTAAATTATGGTGATGTATTTTGATGATCTTAACCGTCTAGGTATCTCTTTGAAGTGTTAGATGTAGATATTTTATTAGTTTATGGGAAGTTCATTATCAATATAATTAGTAAAAGATGATTGTAGGGTGTAATTATCTACAAATAAGTTCTTGTTTTGGGTATAATGAATGGATGAACTCGATTATATAATTTGTGTTTTGCACGACTGTTTATTTATTGCATTATAATGTTAGTAAGTATGCTTTATATAAATTCCTAGATAATGTTTTATATGCATCAAGTAATGTAAGAGGACAATGACAGAAAGTAACTCACTTGAAAAATGTATGCTAACCAGATTAAAATAAAGCAAAATTCAAAGTGCTACACCACAAAATATATATATATATATATATATATATATATATATATATATATATATATATCGCATAAGAGTTCCATAATAAGTAGACGATCCATAGCTACATAATGTGATGTCTGATTATTTTACAATGCATGACTGAGTAATAAGACAACAAAAGTTAGATTAACTAATTACAATATTATGTGTCAAGTTAGACACATGTAAAAGTAGTCTTAGACAGGAGCAAACACTTGTGAAATACTTGTTCCTATATAAAACCACAATGATTGACTGTCTTTTCAACCTATATAGAAGCAATGAAGCATCAAAGATAGATAGGGTAACAACAGGTGTTGCTTAGGAACAGGTATTGCTATGAAACCTGTTCCTTTGCAAGACCATAGCCCCCAAAAGCCTTAACTCTAACCGATTTTTGTTTAGTCTATGTGGCTTTATTTAGGAACATGTAATCTTAGAATACTTGTTCCTTTGAAAATCCACATTACTCAAAATACTTACCTTAAAACCATACAATATACATAGCAAAAGATTTAGTAGATGAAGCTGTTACCCAACTGATCTGTCATGAGTGTTACTTTTGATTTTTCACTTAAAAGTCATCTGAATCATCATCAAGAAACACAAGTGCTCGACGCTTGTTGTCTTTCTCTTGCTTAATAGCCTTGACTATTTCAGCAGAGTAAATCAATGTGTCATAGTCAATTCCTTTTCCTTTTAGCGCTGCCTGAATAGCCTAATCTTTCCCCTTTTGCTTGATAAGACTTGTACTCTTGATAGCTGAAGCTGTTACATGGTCAAGAACATCCTTTGCTGGTGTGGTAGCATGAAACTAAGGATCAGCATTGGCTTTCCTTTTTTTCTGCCCTGTATCCTCTAAGCTAGATTGAGTTGCTTTTTCTGCTGCAGCCATTGCTTCTGCTGCTAAGCAAGAATCTTCCTCTTCCTGACTGAAGATCGACAGATCATAAGCTGCGACTGTTTCTTTTTTTATGGTCTTGCAGAGAGGATCTATGGTTTCAGCTATAAACTTTTGGTGATGGTCAGACCCAGCTTCTTGGGTATCAGTTATTGCTGCCTCATTGTTAGCTGCAGATGCTGCAACAACAATTGTGGAACTGCTTTCCACAACATTAGGTGTGTCTGTGTGTTCCATCTCCACACCCTTTAAACCCCGTTACAAAACTTGATTATGTTCTAAGGTAGTTGTAGGACCAATCTTTATCAAGAAGTATGTAGTTGAAAGCCTATAAGCTATTCTACGGAATCTAGCTGTATCATCCTGAAATAAGATAAATGTTGAGTTAATACAAGCAGTAAATATAAATGCAAATCAAGGAGCACTAAGAATTGTTAACACATGACATGGACAATAAATCTTTTACCATAGCCTTCATGTGATAAATCTCTTCAGCAGATAACCTAAAAAGCGGGAGGCAGCTTTTAGTGAATGCAGTGAGCTGTAGTGCTCCAGTTGCATCAGAAAAAGTCATTGTGATTGTTGCTCTGTATAATTTGAAGGATTAGTGTTGGCATTCACTGGCTACTATCTTTTCTTATTTTCACCAGCTAATTTACAAAGAGAGTGCTTGTAGACACCCATTTGTGTCTCCCCAAAACCAAACTCGGTGATGAGTACCTTTCACGTCGAATCATAATCGAATGAAGTGAAAGTGTGGAAAATCTAGCGTTGCAGATAGTTTTAATTTCTTTTCTCTTCTCTCTGTTTTTGAAAACTTATTTTAAGAAAACAGCCAATCTAGTTTGGTTGGTCCATGATAAATGTCCAATAATAGTGTAGTTGGATGGGGCTTGACAAGAGCTTTCCAACGATATATTATAAGCCCAATTCCTATGAATATTGAGGAAGTTATGGCCAATTTACCAAACTGGGCCCGGTTTGAGCCTTATATGCGGCCCAATGATCTAGAGGAGGGCCTTATATGATTTATCATTCCTAATTAAATTAGCATTGATAAATTGACTTTTGAATTTTCAGATTTTTAATTAAAATCAAATAGCATTTTCGAGGAAATTATATGATTTTATCCTCCAGTACGACAAACTTATCTAATTTTCGAGAACGCGTTAAAACCAGGCTTGGCGCCTGACCCCAGGCTTTGGCGCCTGGAACCAGCTAGCCAGGGTTTGCGCCAACTCTGTTTTTTGTGCGTCAGACTCTGTTTTGATTATTTTATCTTTTGGGTTGATTTTCTCTATAAATATCGTATTAAAAACTCCGTTTTCATCCACCTACAATCAGTTTTTATTCGCAATCATTAATTCTCTAATTCTCTCTTAATCATTCACCAACTCTCACCAAGATTATCTTGATTATTTTCTCTCTCTCTCTTTTTCTAAATTAGCTTTTTGCATACAAAATTCCGCATTCGCAAGATCTAGAAACACCTAGCCATATTCGAAGTTGTCTTCGCCCAAGACGTGAAAGGTTTAATTTCTGAGGGTTTGGTCCCAGATCTCTATTTCAATTATTTATTTTGATTGTTTTGATTATTATTTTCCTTGAAGTTACTAACGTGTGTATTTTGTTATTGAAAGAGGTAAGAGCCATCAAATTAAGTGCTTTAATGATTTTAATTGATGTTATGATGTAGAAATCATGTTTATATTGTTATTATGATAATCTTTGTATCATGTCTAGGGTAACTTTAATATCAAATATATTAAATATGATTGTTACGATGCTTCCTATGTTCTTCCTAATATTAATGATTGATAGTATCATGTTAGGGTTAAAGATTTGATTTTTATTGCTTAGTGACATGCTAGGGTTTTTTATTAATCTTGTTAGTATCATGCCTAGGATCTTGCTATGTTTATTATGCTTTAATATTAGTGTGAGCATGATTGTGATGATTATAATTTTATGATGATTATTTTATTTATGATGATATTATTATTATTATTATTCATGATTATTATTTATAATGTTGCTTGATGCGTTATTTATTGCTTGATCACACCTTTTATGCATGTTAAAGGGAATTTGTACTTGTAATCACGCTTAATAAGATAATGAATAATCTTATTTAGGGTTATTGTGATTATAATTCAAGTGATCACCAATAATAGTTTATTTGTGCATTAATATTCAACCAACATAGATAAACAGGTTTAGGGTTAATCCTATTGATTGCATGTTAGTCAAAAAGCGCACATGAATACGATCAGAATAAAGTAGAGGCCTATTATTAGGGCAGGTTCAATCTCTTTTAGGTTGGATTTGTATCTTCATCTCCGAACCCTTATTTGGTTCTAGACCTTATAGAGTTGACGATCTCTTGGATCGTTAAGGGGTGTAACCTTCATCCTATGAACGGTTTACAAGTTCCTAAAACTTGTTGGCGACTCTTTTGCTCTATCTTCTTCCCTTTTGGACGCCACCGTACTTTAGTGTATGATCACAGTGGGGTTCAAGCTAGTGGGATTAAGGCTTGAAATTTATTCCCTACAGTTTTTGGCGACTCCATTGGGGAGGATTTCTATTTTAATTCCTGAATTTGTTTCGGCAATAATTTAGAATGAGTGGATGAGACTCGAAAGTTCTAAGTATTTCATGTGCGTAATTTTGATTAACATTATTGTCATATGCATAAAAAATATCTCATTGGAAAGACCATCCGTAATGAGTTAAAAACATAGGATTTTACACGTAGGAAATTTGAGAAATATCTTTCACAACTAGGACCGAAATAACACCGCGCGAAACTGGAAAATTTTATCAAGCACAGAAAGCTGCTGAGGCATGTGGGAAGCAGCGTTAGGGGCCAGAGCATTGGCGCCAGTATTTTAACCGTAGTGCCAGACGCCAGCATTGGCGCCAGGCGCTACAGTTAAAAGATGGCGCCAGTCTCTGTTTGCTGGCGCCAATTTCCCCCAATACCGAGCCAGAAATATGCGTTCTAATTTCGACCGGTATTTCGTATTGTTTGCTCGATCCTACTTCCTGATTGAATTTTTTCTCACTATTCTGAAACCCATATGTGTTCTACATATGGATATAACCCTCTGGGAATTCATGCTCCATCTACCCGATTGAACGCTCCGTGCAACAAAGGGTACATCCGAGATGTTGAATTCACCAAACCATGGAAGCGAGATATTCTAAAACTCGCGGTGTCCCATCCACTCGCGCCAACCCTTCACGGTTAGGCTTCCACGCAGTGCATCCGGACAATTAAGCATGGACCCTCTATTGACTAACCCATATTCCGAACTTTAGAGAACTAGAGCCATGGTTAGGTGGCAAACGCATTGCATCATATTGTGCCTACTTGACTAAGTGTGCATCATTTGTTGTGCATATATATTCTATGTTTCCCTTAACCATTTGTTGACTTGTGTTGAGACTAAATAAATTAACGACTTAAAAAACTTTGCTTATTTAATTAATTAATTAATTAATTTGAGTCAATAAAGTATAATTTTGTTCAATCGGAATTGACCTAGTACGACTTTAGGCATACCCCGATTGACTAATAATACCGAAAACAGTCCCAGATCGAAGCTCCAATATTAGCGCCAAGATCTGAGCTGTAGCGCCACATTATGGAGTGTAGCGCCTGACGACAACTCTATCGTCTGGCGCCAAGCTCCACAGTGCGACGCCAGTCCTGTCGTTTGGCCGACAGTTCAGATTATTGGTCAAGTCATCACCTAGGGTCTAATTAATCAGTTTTCTAATAATTCAGTTTTCTAATAGATCAGATTTGAGTCAATGATCGAGTTTAGGCACTAAGTCCCATGGTCTTACACAAGAGTCCAAGCATGCCACTTATACTCAACGCACGCACCAATACACATACTTTGACCATGTTTAAGAGAGTCTTGTGTGCGCGTTTTTTCCGTCATTTTTTTAAGGGGTAAGTCGGATATTAATCCTCCAATAAAATAAACTATACTTATTTCCCTAAAATATGTACATTATTTTTGCCAAAAATATGCACCCTTTTCTTTTTTCTTTTCTTCCTTAAAATAAACCATAAAGTCAAGTTGATTCGAGTCGAGTGATTAAAACACAAAATGGTTTAATTTACAGCGTGTGGTCAAGAGAGGAAGGACGGTTAATGAAAGACAACCTCTTCGTACAAGTCCAACTTTTCGACAAACCCATAGCTCGCAAGACGAAAGCTAAGACTATAATGGCAACACAAGAAGAAGTCAATGATCTTAAGAACCAACTGGCTACCGTAACTGAGACACTGAAGTTTCTCGCACTCAAGATCGATGATCCCGTGAAGCAACAACAGATGGACCTCATGCAAGAGAGTTTAAGCAAGTTGTCTAGCGACTACAAGTTTCAAGAGCTTACATCACAAGGGGTCTCGGTGGACAAAGATCTTCTTCCGCAGAAGTTCAACGCCAACGACATCCCAAAATTCAGAGCAACTGACAACCCTTACTTTCATTTAAGAGCATTCGAAACAATAATGAGTATTAAGGGTATCGATAAGAAAGTTTTCCCCTCTCTGTTCTCACTATCTCTCGAGACCGTTTTCCAACAATGGTTCTTTTCTCTCGAGAAAGAAAAGATCTCTACCTGGGAGTCCATAGCAAACGCTTTCGTTGATAGGTACAAGTGTAACATTCAAGTCGAGACTGACCATAGGGAACTTGAAATCCTCAAGTAGAAAGAGAATGAAGGCTTCACCTCTTTCTTTAACAAATGGAGGGAAACCTCAGCTAAGATGATTGAGGTGCCAAGTGAAAAAGAATCTGTGAGCCTGTTTATTAAAAATCTTCAAGAAAAATATTCCAAGAATCTCAAGTATCAAAATAATCTCCATACCTTCAAGGTCGTTTATGACATTGGGATCAATATTGAAGATGACTTGGCTAGATTAAAAGCTGCCAACAATAACTCCAACAGTGGCTGGAAAGGAAAGAAGAACGACAATCCTTCTTCTTCCAAAACCGCCCACTCAAACAATGTTAGCACCTTTAATTTAGGAGAAGTCCTTGCTATGAACAATCAAGGACAGAAGAAACCATTTAGGAGGAACTTCACTCCTATTGGCATGAGTTATGACACCGCATTTGATCAAATAAATGCAAAGGGTCTTATAACTCCTATTGGACCATTTGGGGACCCACCAGTTGAGAAGAGTCGGCTAATTGAAACCCCAATGCACAATGCAAGTATCAACAAGGTAGGGGCCATCTCACTGAAAACTGTTGGAAGCTTAAGGAAGCTATCCAAGACTTGATTGACAACAACAAGCTGCCGTTGCCCCCTGCCAGTAAGAAGCCAAGCATTGATTATGCACCTCTAGCTCATACCCTGGCTATCTCTGATGAGGAAAACGAAGTTGACCCCTCATCTCTCATTAGACCTGTCAAAGAAATCCGTGCCATAGAAGAAGAAGAAGAGGAAATCTTTTTCGATGTCAAGGATAACCTTCAAGAACCGGCAAATAAGGAAGATATACAATTGCTCACACTGTTTATGAGGGAGGTATCGAAACTGCTACGTGAAGCTCTCAAAG